CACCACCACCACCACCACCACCACCACCACCACCACCACCACCGCCTGGCTCTCTCCTAACTTGTATTACCCACCACCGCCCTAACTTGTGTTACCAACCCAAAATTATCTTTTAGACCTCAAAACATTTTCTTAGACAATTTAAGCTTTTTTGTCTCTCAACCTTTACACCTCTTTTGTGAGTTTCTTTTCTGAATGTGGTAACAAGGAAAACTATTTCTGTAACTATCTAATCTTCAACCCCATCAGAGACCTGAGAAGGATATAATATTTATTACCTGAGTAAACAGGACGTGTGGAACAAACAACTTCCAAGACTATAGAAATGATAGAAACAGTTGACTGTCTGAACAGTCACCCAAGTTTCTTCTGCATCATTGGGGCATCTGCCTTTGACATATAGTCCTAGACTATCTGACAAACTTTTCTGTGATGCAGGAATTTGAAGGACTGCCCCACCTTGTTTTGGCAAAGTTCAGCAGTTACTTTCTTTTGTGTCCTGCATGTCCAGTTTGGACAGCACACTGTCAGCAGTCAAGGCAAGGACAGTTTCTTGTCCAGTGGCTAACTTTGCCACAAGGAAAGCAAACTCCAGATGGAGGTTCTTTGATGCCCATCATCCTTTTTTGAAGAAAATTGGTGCTGCCAGGAGCAGACATGTCTCACTGTTGTTAAAAGACTTTATGTTATTAAAACATTTTAAATGCTGTATTCTCTGTAGGTCTCTGACGTGTTTTAAGACCACTTGCCTATCTAAAATATATCTCTGTTTGACCTTGAAAACATACCTAACATGGCCACAAATTTGAATGTTAGAGACGACTAACTGCTAACCTACATTTTTTTAATGATCTTAAACAGTTTGTAATAATAGCTTTTAAGGACTAGAACTTTACATTACATTTTAAAATGAACTGCATAGGTACAATACCTTAAACAAAAGTAGAAACATATATACAGTATGTTAAAATAAAAATAAGCTTAAATCTATCAATATATAAAAATATCTTCAGAGTAGAAACATATATACAGTATAACAAAAATTCCTAA